CCACCATTTTGAAGCAACAATCAGTCGTTGCTTGCAGCATATGGAAAAAAATGCATTTCAACTAGAAACATTAAGTTTACTTAAATATCATTTTATATATGACACTCGTTTCTTATAATTTATGTAAAACTAAGTTAATAAAAACATTTAAATTACCATTACTAAGAGTAACAAGTGCACTAATCTAACTCATTTATTAACCTTTGGTAAATTAAACTTTACAATTGGTACTTGTTGACGTCAGGTTTACATATGAATGGCTGCTATTCAGGTTAAAGTTACATTGTGTATACCTTAATAGGTTAACATTACGTTAAGCCAACATTATGATTTAATCGTTATGTTGGCTTGACTTTAGTTAGTGTTATATTGATATGCGTAGTCGTTCCATTTAGTAAGTAGTATTGAAGAGTTACTTATGGTTACAGTGTTTTCTAAACGATGTGTTTGCAGCTCAAGTGTCAACATATTTATATAATTGTTGAATCATATATTGTTTTTGAGCCACTTAACTTTAAAATTATAATTGTAAACTCAATATAACAGCATCAACTAACAGACAAGTTTAGTTATCATTATCGCAATCTAGCTAATATAAAAATGCCATAGGCCTAACAATCCAAGTTTCTTAAAGGTTATTTTAAAAGCGCCAAAGCGCGAAATATCTAAAATACCCATAACAAAAACAAAATAGGAAAGGATTCAATTTTTTAAAATTTTCGAATTGTATCTTGAATCATATTTTTGATTCGATTCGATTCGAAATTTCAAATATATATATATATATATATATATATATATATATAATATAGATATATATATATATATATATTTTATATATATATATATATGTGTGTGTATATATATATATATATATATATATATATATATATATATATATATATATATTATATATATATTTAATTTCAGGGTTGAAGACGGGGGGGGAGGGGTTAATACCCCGCTTTTTTTCTAAATGCCTTTTTTTTCAAAAAATCTAGACATTTTAGAAATTGACAATTGTGACAAATATATATATGAGTTGGTCAGAAGCCAAGGGGTACAAGTGACATTTTCATAGTTTTAAGATACAGCTGTTTAAAGTTAAAGTATTTTTGTTAAATATACTCAGCTGTTGTTATGTTTTTCCAGTAGAAAGCAGCACAGGGCAGAGATTCACTTGTATCCCTTGGCCACCAACAATTTTGTTTGCTTCTTCTATCAAATTCTATACTTAACTTAATTTTGGTAAAATTGTCATTTGTACCCCTTGGCTTCTGACCCACTCATATATATATATTTTAAGTATATGATATATATAATATATATTATATATATAAAAATATATATATATATATATATATATATATATATATATATATATATATATATATAATATATATATATATATATATATATATATATATATATATATATATATTTAAACAATTTAAAATGTATTCTACAAAAAGAGTGCTCAATGTTCTTAAAAGAACAGAGCAATTATAAATTAGTAGAAAATCACTTAGCAAAATTTTTTCTTATTTAACACTGTGTTTCATCAATAAAGACTCATCAGAAATGCTCATCAAAATATCAGAAAGACTCATCATAATATATTATCAAAAACTTCTGATGAGTCTTTATTGATGAAACACAGTGTTAAATGAGAAAAAATTTTGCTAAGTGATTTTCTACTAATTTATATATATATATATATATATATATATATATATATATATATATATATATATATATATATATATATATATATATATATATATATATATATATATATATATATATATATATATATATATATATATATATATATATATATATATATATATATATATATATATATATATATGTATATATATATAGCTTTTAAAACACATCTAAAAAGTATGCATGTGATTCTAAAGCAAATAGTTGCTAATCATCAATCTTATTACTTTTAATGCCTTAAATGCCTGATTTTACATTTTTGTATACCAAGTTTCACATTCCACTCATTGCACTAATTAAAAATAATTCTTAGTTCATTCCATACATTGTTTTAGCTGCTTTCATAAATTATCTTCAAAATCTTGAAGCCATCAACGTAAAGCTTCCATTTATTTTTAAATTTATTTGGTAGGTCATTGGAATACATTAAAAGTAGTATTGGTCTCAGAGCAAAGCCCCTGGTTACACCAAGAAAAAGACTAATTAATATTTAAGCTATCTCTCCAAAGATAATTCTTTATCTTCTAGTTGATAAAATATAGGAGCGAATCTGGTTTTAACAAAAATGAGCTTAAATTTTGTTTAAATGAAAGTATAATGAATAATACTGACTTATTTATTTAATATTATTAATGATTGTTAACTTTGAAATTTGGGTAACCTTGAATGTGAGTACATACTCACATTCAAGTGTTGTAACAATCAATAAATCAAAAATATTTTCGTTTCAATTTAAAAGTTACTTATACTATAATTACTGATTTATTATAATAATATTTTAACATTGTAATTCATTTTGTTTCATTTTTTCCAGTTCCCAAAAAAAGATCTACTTAGATAAGTATTTTTTAAATTTTTGTATTGTAACTATATAATGAGCTGGGTTACTCAGTTAGAGTTCGATTAACCAGTTAGAGCTGTTAGAGAATTAGTTAAAGCTGTAGCTCGATTAACAAGTTAGAGCCGGATTAACCTGTAAGAACTGGATTAGTCCGTTAGAACTGAATTAGTCCGTTAGAACTGAATTAATTAACTAACAGGCCAGACTAGACATTTGGCCTCACGGCACGCAAAATTAAAGACCACGCAAAATTAAAGACCACCAAAAATTGGAGGTTTTAAATTATTATTAAAATTCAAAAGTTCAAAACTCATTTTTTAATTGGATTATTATTTAGGCTATACAGAAATTGAAAAAAATTAATTAGAATGTTAATACAATTAATTTTTTATTTCGTTTTTGTATTTAAACAAACTTAAAAAGTTTACCTACAACTTTTAATCTATATATTTTTTAGTTCATAACAAATAAAATATATGTATTTTATTTTCTAGAGTAATTAAAAAATATATATGTAAGAAAAAGAGGCTGCTAAAGATTTTAGTGCCTAGGGCTTCAGTTTTCTTTAATCCGGTGCTGCTGCCAAGCAGTAAAATTGCCAATTTATTTGTTTTTATATAATTTGTTTAATGTATATTTTATTGCTCAGCATGTATTCCAATGTTGCAAGTAGTTGAGTTGAAACTAAGCAAGTAGCTGAGTTGAAACTAAGCAAGTAGTTGAGTTGAAACTAAGCAAGTAGTTGAGTTGAAACTTAGCAAGCAGTTGAGTTGAAACTAAGCAAGTAGCTGAGTTGAAACTAAGCAAGTAGTTGAGTTGAAACTAAGCAAGTAGTTGAGTTGAAACTAAGCAAGTAGTTGAGTTGAAACTAAGCAAAGTTTCTTTCAAAATACTTAACTCATTTTACCTGCAAGACTTTGAGTATTTCCTTATACCAACTATTTTTTTCATTTTTGTTTGATTGTGTTAAAATTTTTTGTACTTAAGTATCTTTTTATGTAAATGTTGACGGATTATTCAACTGAATTATTTGGTCATGGCCGGTGGAAGAGTGAAAAACTTATGCGCAAATAACTTTTGTGCTCATAATATATACTCCTAAGATATTCTGTTTTCTTAGAATTATATCTAACAGTTATATATTGAAGAGTTGTTTTGAAATAAATTGGCTCATTTTTAAATCAATGCGTGTTTCCGTAGGCGAAAAATAAATATACGCTATATAATGACTTATGCAAAATTTTCAACACTTCTATAATTTCTTCACAATCAATACTGTAGCTTTATAAAGATTATTATGATGTACTTTACAATATAGTTTATTATTAGCATACAATTGATTGTTGATTGGTTCCATCAAAATACGGTAGTAGTTAGTTAGCTATTGTAACTGACGTTTTGTTTTAATCTGACTGCATTTCAGAGTGATTAGTCGATGATACAACGCACTAGCAATGATGCAATAATACAAATAATCGACATTGCGATAGTTTACCAGTCATTGAGCTGTAAACATTAAAAAAATTTTTTTTTAATTATTTATTGCTATTTGAATATTTTATTCTAAAGATATTTTAGGTTTTGTTAATAGAGCTTCCTTATTTCGATGGCGATAACTTTTTTTTATGAATAATAACAATTATAAATTTAACAACTTCACGAGGATTACTAAGCAAGTTATTTTCATGCATTATTATTACAGGCATTGCAAAGTATTGTTGCTAACCTTGCTATTAAAGTTAGAGTATTAGCCGTTGTAGTATTAGCTAAAAAATCTAAGATTTATTTACAACTGTGTTGCATGCTGTTAGAGTTGTCTTCTAAACCGTCATCTTATAAGATAAGCGTTATAAAACAACACCAATAGGCGGCATGAGACTTGGTCTATCGATATTGCATCAGTTTATTGATATTGTTGCAGTTATTGGCATCATTAAATTGGTACTTCATGTTTTTAAATGTGACATTTCACATTTAAAAGCATGAAAACAACAGTTAACAGCAGCCTAGCATTGTGAAAAAAATAAGATTAAGTTATTGACAAACTCACAGGTTTTAAGAAAAAAATATTTGAAGAGTATTCTGGGGAATCACCTCCCTAAATTCAATCAAAATTTTATAACATCTTTAAATTACTTAAGTGTATGAGATATATCTTTAAAACATTTACATTTTATAAAAGATAAATAAATTTATAAAGAGTAAAAATATATAACTGTGTTATATATTTATTATGTTAATAAATGTTTCATTAATAGATTCAAAAATTTTTTGATTCTATATTATCTTATTTTATTTACTTTTTTAAAAATAAAATTATTCAACAATGCGCAATTTATTTAAGATTGTTTATAGTTCAAAATATAAAAAAATATTTAACTTAAAATATCAACTATCGATTTTGTTTGCTACGTGCTCATGTTTTATATCCGTGAAATGGAGGCGGGTTTAGCGATTTATTGAAGTGAAAATGGCTACTGTCATCAGATTCTACAAAAGCCGAATCTGTTTATAAACCGCGAAAAATCAATATAGTTTTTATTTAGTTTTATTATTTTATATTTTTAACAGTAAAAAACTTGTTTAAACGAAATTTGTGTTGCCAGCTGTAAATTAAAAGTTATCAATTTCATAAGATTTTTATATATAAATGATTGTCATATCCGAATGGGTTGTAGCTATAGTTTAGAAGAAAGAGAAGCTAATTCTCGAAGTAGAGCGATTGAGAAAACTCTCAAACACGATGGAGACAAATCAGGCAAAGAAGTCAAATTACTTTTACTAGGTATTACAAAAAATTCATACACTTTATAAAATTATTAACGTACATTTAAGTTTTTTGTGTTTTAAATTAGACAAGACAAGGAGTTGAATAAGTAAAATAAATATGAGCCTCCTGAAAAAATAGATTTTTACTTGCTGAAAATTAATTTTACTGCACACACATATACTCTCTCTCTCTCACACACACACACACATACAAAAGTACATACATACATACATACATACATACATGCATACATACATACATACATACATACATACATACATACATACATACATACATACATGTTTATATATATATATATATATATATATATATATATATATATATATATATATATATATATATATATATATATATATATATATATATATATATATATATATGTATATATATATATATTTATATATATATATATATATATATATATATTTATATATATATATATATATATGTATATATATGTGTGTATAGTCATGTATGTATACATACATATATATATATATATATATATATATATATATATATATATATATATATATATATATATATATATATATATATATATATATATATATATATATGTATATATTTATATATAAATATATATATATATATATATATATATATATATATATATGTATATATATATATATATATATATATATATATATATATATATATATATATATATATATATATCAATAAAAAAAATTATATTAGCATTAAGCTCCAACATTAAAAGCATTTTTATCATTATGCTCTTTATGTTTTGACTTTTTATCTTACATAATAACAAATGCCATATATTTCACAATACTTCATATGGCTTTAAATAAGGAGTATTTTTATATGTTTTAAGTTTTTTGTTACAAAAAAAAAAAATTATGCAAAATCCAAACACAAAGTTTTACTAAAATGGTAAACAAAAAACTTCCTATTTAGTAAAATGACTTATTCTATATTTATTTATTTAACTATGATGCTATATTTTGCTATACAATGCTCTTAATTTAGAAGATATTGTTGGCTTAGCATAGGAGCAGCCACAAACAGTCATTAAGATTAACCCAACTGTCTGGTTTTTAAAAATTTGTTTGATGCTCTAATCAAACTAAATACTTATTATTTTATTATTTATCACTTTTCATTATTATAATCACTTCTCTAATAGCAGTTACGGCTAGATAACTCAGTTGGTTTATCTAGCCATAACTGCTTATAGAGCAGTGATAAAAAATGTAAATAGTATTGATTATAAGTTTCGCTAAAATTTACTAAAAGAAATTGACACATATCTAATCTCTGTCTCAAATAAGTTTATTTTTGCAATGTATTGAAACTATTTAAGTTTATATTTGTGTAATATATTTATGCAAAATGCTTTTTTTTTCTAGCAATTGATAAAATTTAAAATATATATATATATATATATATATATATATATATATATATATATATATATATATATATATATATATATATATATACAGGGTTTGGAATAAGCATCGAACATTGGACATTGTCCAGTAAAAAAATGACATCTATCGGTTATTTTGTCTGACATATATTTTATATATTTTAATAGATAATTTACCTTACAAATTTTCATTTTATTTTCAGTGCATTTTGAAATGCCTAGAGTTGCCAAAACATATTGAATGGTCATGTTGTATTTTAAGCTTGTTCAGGAATAGCGTTCGATTGTACTACTTTAATTTTTATCAGACATGTCCAAGGGCGTGGTGGCTGAAAAAGGCCCATGCGGGATTTTATTAAAAAAGCCTATTTATGCAGGATTTTACCATATACAATGTTTGTAAAGGCCCATACATATCCGGTAAAAAACAACGTCTATCTGTCAGACCCATATTTTGTATGCATTTATTTTATAATTACTTTAGTTGTTCCAAAGTTAATAATAAATTTAGTATTAATTTCAGTATAAATTTCATTTTTTGAATTTTTTTATTTTTTATACAAAAAAGAAAATGAAGCTACGTTAATAAAATTTGTCATTTTTTGAGCTAATTCATTTTTTAAAAACGCCTAAGCATTTAGTTTTTTTTGAATTAAGTAGCCCGTTAAAATTTTATTTTAGTATTTGTTTTATTTTTTGTCTTATTAGTTTTTCTAAATTTCAAATGAATATTTTAACTTTTAAAACCCCTTTAAATTTATTTCATAAAAATTTAAGCGTAATAGTTTTTTAATTCTTATAGAAACCAGTATTTTTTATTATACTATTAAATTTAAGTTATATTACTTTATGTTAATTATGTAACGTTTGCTTATAAGTCAAATTTTTTCAATATTAAAAGCGTTAATAAAAGTAATCATAGTAAACGTTTAGAAAGATTTATGAAAAAATACATTATAGATATTATTTTTAAAATAAATAGATTTTTTTGTCAAAAATGTCAAAAAAAGTAAAAATTGCTAAAAGGTCCATATTTAAGTAAAAAAGTGAAAGCCAATGCCGAAATCCTGCATGGCCTCTGGGGCCACCACGCCTTTATTTTTTGAACTTTTAATTTTTTATACAAAACAAAAGTTCTTTACAGTGCTGCATTAATAAAATATGTCATTTTTTTGAGTTAGTTCATTTTTTTAAGACACCCAAGCATTACATTTTTTTGAATTAAGTAGCTTGGTTTTTATCATTTATATTAAAACGTCACAATTAGTGAATAATTTAATTATAGTAAGTATTTATTTAATTTTTTGTCCAATAGTTTTTATAAATTTCAAACAAATACTTTAGCTTTTAAAACCCTTTTTAAATTTATTTTATAAAAATTTTAATGTAATAGTCATAATTTAATGCTTTTAAGAAAAACTTTTTATTACACTATTAAATTTTAGTTATTTAACATTTGTTTTTCGCTCTAAAAATTTCTGCTATGAAAAGTGGTTATATAATTATTCCTAGATAAAATTTGAAAAGATTTATAAAAATATACATATTTATATTAATGTAATATGTATAATATTCTTTGATAGTTTAAATAAAATAAGTTTATTGTAAACATAATTAATTTGTTACTTTATTTAATAAAGTAGTAAGTAAATTTAATAATTTATGTATTTAATATATTTACATATATGTGATATATGTATTTAATAATTTTATCTTACAAATTTTCTTTTTATTTTCAGCACATTTTGAAATGCCTAGAGTTGTCAAAACAAATTGTGTTGTCAAGTTATATAAACAAAATATTTTTGCGTGGTCAGAAATGGTGTTTGATCGTACTTCTTTAATTTTTATCGGACATGTTCAACAAACTTGTTAAAAATTATCTGCAACAAAAAAGTTTGTTATTTCAAGCTTTGTATTAAAGCATTAAGGCCAACATCTTTTATTTTTGGAAAAACAATTATTTTTGGAAAAACAAAAAAGTTAATTAAAAAATTTATGGCATTCTTCCACCAAAAAAAAAAAAAAAAAAAATTTAATTTTGTATGGTCCTTTATTCCTATGATGTTTTTATATCAAAATATTTTTTTTATTAATAATTAATTTCAATAAATGATGCTATTAATTTGATAAATCCTTAAATTTATTATAAAATATTGACAGTTATGTTGATTTAATTTAACTTGCTAAGTTTTGTTTGTATGTATAAAAATTAATGTTAAGGATATGTATGAAAATTATATTAACATTATTGTTTAATAATTCAATTTCCTTTTTTTTTTATGCTTGTACTATTTTCTTTAATTAAGAATTTTTTTGTCTAAAAGTTTAAAAATGGAAACCCAAAACTTAAATTAACTTTACAGCATTACTTGTTTAAAAAATAAACAACAATTAACTGGAAATTTTCTTCAAAGAAAAAAAAAATGAAATAAAGGTTTTTGATGATATCTTGTTTTTGATGATATGCAATTATTTTTCACTTGTTTTTTTGTAAATGCTTATTTAAATACTTGCAAAAAAATAAATAAATAAATAAACACATTTTTAAGCATAACAGTTTTTTATAAAATAATTTGATGAAAAATTGCAAAAACTTGTAACTGTTTCTTTGTAATCAACATTTAAATATAACTTTTTGGCATCATCAGGGTCTATTCTAGGAAAAAAATTTGGACAGCGGTACCCCCTTGTTCAGGAGAACTTTAGCAGAAAATCGGCAGTCTTTTCGCAAAAATAACAGTATTTGCCGTAAAAAACATTAAAAAAAATTCTCCAATTTTTATTTGGGCGCCAATACAGTTGACCCTGTCAAAAATAGTCTAGAATAACCCCTGATCATCACTATTAGAACTTATAACTGACGTTTATTAACGAATGTTCTAATAATTATTACCAAAAGCAGTCTTCACTGTTTGGCCAGAGTGTTTGGGCTCAAGCCTTTTCATGCTTGCCTGCATGCACACAAGTACTTTAGTGAGCGCCTAAAAAAATGCTTTTTTTAAATTTAAATAGCAATTAAAAATGAACTTTAAAATCTCATAAGTCTGTATAAGATGTTTAACAATAAAAAGATCTGTAAATATAAAAATTGGTCAAATTTATTTGCAATAACATAGTTAACTAAAAAAGTTATGTGTGTCTTGGCTAGTTCTTATCAACTAACTTAATAACTTAGTTCCTACTACAGGCATATTAGCTGATGGCATAATGAAACATTAATTATATATTACAATAAGCGTATTATTAATTGGTAGATCCACTTTTCATCATTTTTTTAATATTTAAACAAGTCTTTGAAGATATTGTTCAAGTGATAAGATAAAAGAAGTAATTAATATTATAAAAACCACTTATGAAGTTTGGATGACGATTACGTGAAAAAATTTGCATTAAAATTACGTTTGATATTTGTGCTATTTATAAATGTAATAAGTTGTAAATGTAAAGAAAATTTTATTTTTATTCTATCTTTTCCATCAAAAATGTTGAGCGACACTTAAAAAAAGAAGTCATAAAAGAAACATAAGATTACTAGCTCAAAAGTAGTACACCTTAAATTTTACACGAGGGCCACTTT